AACTCGTTCAATTTCCAAAATCTAGTTATTATTTATTCTTCTCTGCACTTTTTCTCCTACTTCTAGCTAGGTCTGAGTTAACTCTTATATGCTCCTACTAGGGACCTTGGCTGAAATTGAGGGGAAAGGAATTTTTATCTAGGTCAAGGTCAAAGGTCAAAATGTAGGTCAAATCAAAGTTTTTTTTAAGTTTCTCAGATTTGGTCCTCATACTTCATTATTTCTTGCGATGAATTAAAATGTAACTAGATATAAGCATTCTCTACAAATTGCTCACTATATGTACGCGTTAATTTTTTACCGTTTTTGAGATATTTGACGTCAAAAATCGGCAAAAATCGGTCATTTTTCAACTTGCTTCAAATGAACCAGATTTTTTTTTAAAAATCATCTTCAAGATCTCAGGAACTCAAATATGTCCTTACTTTTGACCTCCGACATTTGGTTGACCTTCGGTGACCTTCGAAAGGTAAAAAAAGTTGTTTTTTCAAATTGATTTTCTGGATTCAAATTTAGGTATATTTGATCACAAAGGACCCACTGAGGTCTAAAAAAGTAAAATTTGCAAGGTCAAAGGTCAAGGTCATCAAACTAAATCACAAACTGTGTTTTCTAAGTTTCTCAAAATTGGAGACTACAAATCAATATTTTTTCATGAAAGTCAGGATATATATTCCTCTATAGGTTCTACACATATTAGCAATTGACTATTTATTAAAATTGTGTACCAGTTTTGAGATATTGGAACTCAAAAACTGAAAAAAAGTCAAATTTCGAAACTTTTCAAGACTAAATTTCAACTTGCTTCAAATTGACCAATTTCTTTTTTAAAACTCATCTACAAGTTCTCAGGATTCCAAATCTAACCTTACTTTTGACATTTGACCTTTGGTTGACCTTCAGTGACCTCCGAAAGGTCAAAAAAGTTGATTTTTCAAATTGATTTTCTGGATTCAAATTTAGGTATATTTATTCACAAAATACCTTCTGAGGTCTAAAAAAGTAAAATTTGCAAGGTCAAAGGTCAAGGTCATCAAACGAAATCACAAACTGTGTTTTCTAAGTTTCTCAAAATTTGAGACTACAAATCAATATTTTTTAATGAAAGTCAGAATATATATTCCTCTATAGGTTCTACACATATTAGCAATTGACTATTTATTAAAATTGTGTACCAGTTTTGAGATATTAGAACTCAAAAACTGAAAAAAAATTAGTACCGTGGGTACTGGGCTCACATGGTCACATTTTTTGCTGATTTTTTGTTACAAAATTATTTCAAGCCATCTGTCTCTCAGTCAATTAAAATGGCTGAAAAAAATGGATATAATTTTTTGCCAATAATTTGTAACAAAATTATTTCATACAACTACTCTTTACAGTGACATGGCTTTTTGCAATGCAAGACACCTGAAATTATTTGTAAAGCTAGGAAATGGGCCAAAATTGAATTTCGCGAGACAAAAATGGCGACCATTTTGAAATCAGGCAAGCTTTTGAACCAGGAGTCATAGGGGAGTTTTTTGTATTGATGTTGAACAAAAATAACTTGAAACTGGAATCCTATTGACAGAGGTTTTAAGCAAATGGTCCAAAAGAGGATTTTGCGAGACAGATGGACAAATCAATGTTTACTAAAATGGCTGAAAATAAAAAAAACGGATATAATATTTTGCCGATTTTTTGTAACAAAATTATTTCATACAACTACCTTTTACAGTGACATGGCTTTTTACAATGCAGGACAGCTGAAATTATTTGTAAAGCTAGGAAATGGGCAAAAAGTGAATTTCGCGAGACAAAAATGGCGGCCATTTTGAAAATAGGCGAGCTTTTGAACCAGGAGTCATAGGGGAGTTTTCTGAATTCATGTTGAACAGAAATAACTTAAAACAGGAATCCTATCGACAGAGGTTTTAAAACGTGCCACAGAAAGTGGATTTCGCGAGTCAGATAGACAAATCAATGTTAACTAAAATGGCTGAAAATAAAAAAATGGATACAATTTTTCGCTGATTTTTTGTAACAAAATTATTTCATATATCTACACTTTACATTGACATGGATTTTTACAATGTAGGACACCTGAAATTATTTGTAAAGCTAGGAAATGGGTCAAAAGTGAATTTCGCGAGACAAAAGTGACGGCCATTTTGAAAATAGCCGAGCTTTTGAACCAAGAGTCATAGGAGAGTTTTTTGTATTGATGTTGAAAAAAATAACCTAAAATGGGAATCCTATCGACAGAGGGTTAAAGGTAAATGGTCAAAAAGTGAATTTTGCGAGACAGATGGACAAATCAATGTTAACTAAAATGGCTGAAAATAAATAAATGGATATAATTTTTTGCTGATTTTTCGTAACAAAATTATTTCATACATCTACTCTTTACTTTGCAATGGACTTCTACAATGTAGGACACTTGAAATTATTTGTAAAGCTAGGAAATGGGTCAAAAGTGAATTTCGCGAGACAAAAATGGCGGCCATTTTGAAAATAGGCGAGCTTTTGAACCAGGAGTCATAGGGGAGTTTTCTGAATTCATGTTGAACAGAAATAACTTAAAACAGGAATCCTATCGACAGAGGTTTTAAAACGTGCCACTGTTATTGACAGAAAGTGGATTTCGCGAGTCAGATAGACAAATCAATGTTAACTAAAATGGCTGAAAATAAAAAAATGGATACAATTTTTCGCTGATTTTTTGTAACAAAATTATTTCATATATCTAATCTTTACATTGACACGGATTTTTACAATGTAGGACACCTGAAATTATTTGTAAAGCTAGGAAATGAGCAAAAAGTGAATTTCGCGAGACAAAAGTGACGGCCATTTTAAAAATAGGCGAGTTTTTGAACCAGGAGTCATAGGGGGGTTTTCTGTATTGATGTTGAACAGAAATAACTTAAAACAGGAATCCTATCGACAGAGGTTAGCTAGGAAATGGGCTAAAAGTGAATTTCGCGAGACAAAAGTGACGGCCATTTTGAAAATAGGCGAGCTTTTGAACCAGGAGTCATAGGGGGGTTTTCTGTATTGATGTTGAACAGAAATAACTTAAAACAGGAATCCTATCGACAGAGGTTTTAAAACGTGCCACTATTGTTGACGGACGGACAGACGGACAGACGGACAGACGGACAGACGGACGGACAGACAGACGGACAAGTGAGCGATTGCAATAGCTCACCATGTGAGCTAAAAAGGTCAAATTTCGAAACTTTGCAAGACTAAATTTCAACTTGCTCTAAATTGACCAAACTTTTTTTTAAAAAGCATCTACAGGATCTCAGGAATCCAAATCTGACCTTACTTTTGACCCTTGACCTTTTGTTGACCTTCAGTGACCTTCGGAAGGGGAAAAAAAGTTGATTTTTTAAATCGATTTTCTGGATTCAAATTTAGGTATATTTGATCACAAAAGAGCTACTGAGGTGAATTAAAGTAAAATTTGCAAGATCAAAGGTCAAGGTCATCAAATTAAATCACCAACTGTGTTTTCGAAGTTTCTAAGTTTTGGTGACTACAAATCAATATTTTTTCATGAAAGTCAGGATATATATTCCTCTATAGTTTCTACACATATTAGCAATTGGCTATTTATTAAAATTGTGTACCAGTTTTGAGATATTAGGACTCAAAAACTGAAAAAAGGTCAAATTTCCAAACTTTTCAAGACTAAATTTCAACTTGCTTCAAATTGACCAAACTTTTTTTTAAAAATGATCTACAAGTTGCCTGGTGTTAGTATATGACCCTAGATTTGAGATTTGACCTTTGGCTGACCTTCAAATTGCCAAAAACGCCTACAGGGCCTCCGTAAGATTGCTTGCAATCTTAAATCTCTAGTTATTATTATTATTACATGTGTGTGGAACAATTGACCGCAAGCATTTTGCGTGAAGCCCAGAGCATGATGGCAAGCAAGACTATACCCTGTAGAAGTAGGGTGCAGGGGCTTCCCAGCTTTGTCTCTACACTCATTGTTCAAAGACATTGGGGTACATTCTAGCCAACTTAGACGAGCAATGAGAGAAATTGGAGCAGTTTCAGAATCGTGCTCCAGGTGGCTCTGGATACGAAGACGTGACAAATGGACCCACCAATAAAACGAAGAAGTTTCCATCATTCTTCAACCACCAAATGAAATGTCCCAAAGCTTCAGTCTCTGGAATGGGAGTGTTGGTACCATCAAAGATCTTAAACCAGCCAAAGGTCAGTCACAAGCCTGACGACAGAGACAGCCAAGCTTATTATACCCAAAGCTCCATCCCACTTCATCAGCTCACGAACAGTCCTATAGATGTAGCAAAGCACTTGATGTTTATACACAATTTTAAAATTAATTGGCTGAGTGGGAACAGTATCCAATCAAATACTTTAACCATCAATTTGAAACACCAATCAAACCAGTAGGTTCTAGCAATTCCTGGAAACGACCCATTCAGTAGCTCAACAAATGACATACAGGGTGTTCATAACGAGCATCTCCAAAAAGTCAATTTGAGAAGAGATGGGTCTATAACATATGTATTATATATAAGCCTATTTTATTCTAGACAAACACATTTGGATCAACTAAACATGCTACTATTCAAGAAAGTACAAATGGCATCTTTTTGACCTGTATTTATTACAGTCCGAGAAGATCTTTCCTGACGAAAAGCCCACATTATGAAACACCTTGTACATTTACCTATAAGTATATGTTATAAGTTGTACTTTCATTAGGTGCGAAATCTCTCTATTAACATACAATTCCTCTTTTAATTGTTTTTTGTTTTTTTTTGGTTTATGTTAACACTTTATCTATATCCAGTTGAAGAAGAATTTAATATGCATGTACTTTACTATACCACTTGATTGTTTTATTCATTTATTTTTAAATAATTTTCACTGAAATTTCTGGCAACCATTCATAAGATCTCCATTTTAATGCTGATCTTACTTTCAGCTTTATTAATTTTTTTTAAAATAAAAAATAACTTTTCCCTTACCTGTAGTAGTAACCTGATTAGGTTTTTCAATTCGAATTTCTTTTCCATTCTGAAATTCAAAATATATATTCTTGTTTCAATAAATGCTTCTCTTGTACTGAATTGATTGAGACATGTGGCAAAACACTGCTTTATATTTTCTTGAAAGCTATTATGTTGAACAGACAGGCCCATAGTCAGGGAGGTTCCCCCTGGCCAAAAATTCTTTCAAAATCATGCAGTTTTTCACCATTCTGAGCACTTTTTAAGCAATTTTGGCCATTTTTGGACCTAAATTGTGAAAAGTGAACCCCCCTGGAATTTTTTCAAAAAGTGGATCCTCCTTGGCAAATCCTGGCTATGGGCCTGACAGAGTTGAACAGAGATGGGAACCAATTTCTCAAAAAGGGTGAAAAATTGGGTTCCCGTTTCTTGGTCTTTTCTATACTTTATTGTACTGTCATTTTGCCTTATAGGTAACTCATTCCAATTCTCTGTGTACCTTGGTGATTAAGAAATTGTGAAAATGACATGTATGCTTAATCATATTTTACATAAAATAATTGATACAGATTCTTACGTCACATTTACAGTCCTTTTCCCCGCTTTCCGCGCTGCATTTAAATATCTTTCCATGGATATATTCAGTGCCATTGTGCCAACAACTTTCTGGAAATATTGCATAGATAAAATCATACAAATATTTAATTCTATTGAGGTGAATACCTTTGCATCTTTCACAAGTGATATTCCATGAAGGGCTAGTGGAATATCATCTTGTGAAAATATTTGTTTTATTATGTCACTGTCATAACATCTTCTATAATTAAATAAGTCATATATTAACATTGAAATACATTTATATTTCTTCTTACAATATAGCAATAAATACAATAAATAAGAACTAACAAATTGTAGTATTTTAATTTAAGGCTTCATGTTAACATTATATTATTGTGTTATCTGAATGAATATTCCCGTGGATTCTATCAATTTCTTCTGCAGAAATATTTGGAAACCTTTGTTTACCGTCTGCCATTTTGGTTTTTATGGGATATATAAAATGAAATTTACACTGGACTAAGTCAACCCCGGGGATGTATAAGTCATCACCGTTGAATATCATTTGATATTCACCGGAAGTCACGTGACTTCCGTTGAATATCGCTAGTTATTTTTAAGTCACGTGTAGGACATGGACCAATAAGAGAGTGAGGAATATGACAGTGATATAATAATGTTTATTATTTGAAGTGTTGTCCCTTGTGCCTTCCCTAATCTGACTCCATCACAAAAGTCTGAACTATCTATTCTTCTCGATTACTAAGGCTTTATTTTGAATGTTTTTGTTAAAAGATGTTTGGTCCTAAAGATGTCACTCCACCTTCACTTTAACCCCAAGTTCTAATTATTGTCTACTGTATATTGTACAGTATATGTATTATCAATATCAACCAAGATTTTATGATACCTATACCCTGAGATTTAAAGTGTAAAGTAAAATAACAACACACTTACTTCTACACTCATCAGGGTATACCTTGTAACATTCCACTCCGCCTTCCTGAAAAAATCAAATTCAAAATAATTTTATGCTCATTCTGAAAATCAAAAACATCAGAGAATGTGAAACAGCACTACTTTTTGCCACTTCATAAAATTAACATTTCAATTAGGTGTGACCTAGTTTTAATGATTAATGATGAGTTATTTGCAAATGACTAATAAGTAATTATATATAAATTTGCATTGCCTATTCTTTTTTGCCTCAACCTAATTTTACCGCCATGTATATTATGTATGTATAAAATGATTTTACTACTGCTTAAGTACTTGAGTGCCCACGATGCAGTCAGCTTGCGCATCTGAAATCAGGCTATTCATAAGGTTGTGTGCTCAAATCCCAGCTGAGGTAATAATTTTAATTTTTTATTTTTATTTTCTTCCTTTTTGAACTACAATTCTATATAAGACACACTCATGCTGATCCATCAAGACCTTTATTTGGCAATTTGAGTCAATGGAATAATAATAGTTCCCCATTGATTAATGAAATTTAATAAAAGTGTTTTTTTCAAGATCCGGACTGACAATTTTCATAAATATTTTTTAGAATACTTTTGGTTTCCAATAGACAGATCATAATTTTATAAAGAAAATCTGTGTTGTGCTGTTTTTTTTATTCAAAAAAGCATTTTCTTATTGAAAGCCACATTAAATAAAAATATATTTCTAAAAATAAAGAGTCAGTCAATCTTTCTGATTTTCACATATTTTCTTATATATCATTATGTTTTTTCGAGAAAATCCTCGTTGTAGAAAAAAGATGGTCGGCACTAAAGTACTACCTTAATGGAGTAAACCAATCTAGATATTTATTACTTGAGTAAATAATACCTCACACTTGCACTCTACACAGGGGTCTCGAAGCCAAGAAGATGCATTTTTCTGATTGGTCACTGGATTCCAAACAGCGCCATCTTTATATGTTTTAACGCCACCTATCTGTGAATGATCAGGAACTACGCAAGGTAATCCTTTATTGCACTGTTTTTCTAGACTGTCCACTTTGCTTTCGGCATTTTTTAACTGGAAAATGTATTAATAATTATAATTGCGACACAATAAGTTTTTTTTGTTGTTGTCGTGCATATTTAGTATTGACATACATAGTCTATGTTTTGACTTCCCTCTTAACTCTGATACTCTAACCAGAAAAACAGCAATACCAAGAGTAGATCTCATTCTTCTTAACCTCTTGAATCCCAGATTTTAAAATCGGTTGACACCAGAGAATATTTCATTTTTGCAACCTTTTAACATTTTACTACATAATTATACAACTTAAGATGCCCAAATTTGTAAAATTAGTTGGCAGAGATCAACTCTACACATTTTAAAATAATTTTGTGTAAATTGGATGAAAAGTTTTCAAATAACAGCAATTTTAGTGAAAAATTTTGTGACAGATTTTCTTGTCACTCTGGGTTTCAAGGTCATTCTGAGGTGACGAGAAATCTCGTCACTCCAGGTAGTCAAGAGGTTAATCAGCCTCATCAGCCTTATCCCTAGCCTTATGCTAATTTATACCAACCTGCTGGGTTAGATTATGTACATGCTGCAACAACTGCTTGACTGACTGCTGTAGGGAACTCTCTAACATCTTCATCTCTCCACATGAAAGACATGCTGAAATGAGAAACAAATTATGAAATAGAAACATTTTAGTATCCAGAATCTATACTAGTTTCACATTCATATTAAAGTATGCAAGAAGAACTTGTCAGGAGTGCTGGACATTACAAGGGCATAGTCGCACAGCAGAAATATATTCACACGAATTTTAATATACTCAAATGAGTTATAACATACTCACATGAATAATAATGTACAAGGGCATAGTCGCATCGTAGAAATATTTTCACATTATAATATACTCACATGAATTATGATATACTCACATGAATTAGAATGTACTTGCATGAATTTTAACATACTCACATGAGTCATAATATACTCACATGAATTATGATAAACTCACATGAGTTATAATATACTCATATGACATGATGAGTGATAACGTACTGACATGAATTATATTTACTGCACTTGCATGAATTAAATATAATCACATGATTTAAATATACTCATATGAATAATGGTATACTCACATGAACTATACAATACTTACATGAATTATAATATATGTATACTCATTTGTATTATCATATACTCATCTTAATATACTTGCATGAATTAAATATACTTAGGTTTGTGAATCAAATGTTACCATATAAATAATAATATACTCACAGGAATTATAATATACTCATAGAAGGTATACTATAACAACATGAATTAAACTGTACTCACATAAATGTTTTATACTCACATGAATTATAGTAAGTTCACATGAATTATAGTAAGTTCACATGAATTAAAATTTACTCACATGTATTGGCTTTGGGACACTGTTCGGTGTAACCATAATAACCAAACACTATTTTAGCCTCTTTTATTTCCCCCTAAAAACAGATAAGACTTTAAAAAAAATTATCAGATGATATATAATTGATATTATTATATTTTGTATATATATATAATCATAGGTATATAGTCTAAACAAAAATATACATTTTTGATGTTATAATCTAAACCATGCCCTAGATATGCAAGTATTTCATTCCTGCTCCTGGCGATAGAGGGGTCTGTCCGCGGTGTTATGAGTGCATAATCAGTTTTTGAATTATGTAATTTGAATTATGTAAAGTTTTTGAATTAAGTGGCCAAAATCTCAGATATAAAAGTGAAGGCTAGACTGGTTGGCTTTTAGGCTATTTTTTCCTGGGGGCCTTCAAAATATATAATGAACCACAAACATTATTTTTGTAAGATTAGTGTCAAGCCCGGGGGGTTCACTGAGAACAAAATTTGGCAGGGGTCCTAGGCTGAACCCTCAGATATCAATATATTCCCATACCAAAATGTCAAATTTGGATGTGTTCCCAAACCAACCAATTTAGTGCCAAAAAGCCATACCAAATGCCCAAATATGAGACCAATGCCATACCAAATGTCTGAATATAGGACCAATGCCATACCAATGCTATGACTGGTCCAAAGTAGAATATTTCCCGGGAAAAAAACTAATATTTAAACTGAAGAAAGTCCCAAGAAGAAGGCGATCAAGTCAAATTAAGGATATGTGTTACTACTAGACCAATGCCATACCACAATTGTGAGATAACATATTTTCCATGACCATTCTCATACCAGAAATGGGAAAAATCTGACCATTGCCATACCTCAAAAGTCATAATTTGGGGGCATTCTCATACCAGATCCTGAAATTTGGGTCCATTGCCATAACAAATGTCAAAAAAGATACTCCATGTATCCCCCAGGGTGTCAAGTGATTTGACCACAATATTTGTCTATACCGAGTTTGAGTGAAGACATTTTTCAATGTCAAGTTTATATACAAGGCTGACAAATAAATATTGAATGAGTGGTCTAACATTAAGTTATTTCATATCACTACAAAACTTTAGCTATACCTTAAAATATTGCTCTGTTTCATTACGCTGGCCCACCCAAAGTCGGATTTTGTCTCCTGAAAACTGTCCATCTAATGTTTTTATCACCCTTTCCGCGAATTTTACACAATCAATGTGGATCGTCAATTGCTTCCAGCTAAATGTCACTGCAATTGTATGCCATTTATCATCTGCAAGGGCTACTGGGAAGGTTTCGATAATATCTTGGTTGTCATGACGATAGTATAAACGCAATTCATTAGTTCTGCCATTACTCTGCATTTCAAAGTATCTGAAAAATAAAACTCATTGTTAAAAGTAACAAATCCTGTGCAAGAGCTCAACTCTGCTTACACTCTTAGAAAGAGCATGATTTTTTGATCTGTACAGAAAATATATGGTCAGATTATCATTCCATCATTTCTTTCAATCATCCATTTTTATTTAAGAACCATTTAATATCCAATACTGTAGAACAATTTTGATTCCAAAGATACAGCAGCATAGCTAATGTAAAGTCAGAGCAGATGACTGATATTAGAATTTTGTCACAGATAGATGGCAGCAATTATAGTCAAAAGGAAATCCTACTTTGAACAAAAATATATTGTGTTATTTTCACACATACATTTAAAGATGTAGTTGTTATCCTCCAACCAAGATAATCCATAGTTTGAGTCAAAAATGAAATGTCTCAAATTCAGCTTTATGAATTCTTTTCATTTTCCACACAACATGTATAAAACTCTTATTACTTATTGCTCTTATTATCTTATTACACAAAAATCTGAAAAAATTTCCAATTAAGAGTGTTCACTACATGCCTGTATACTTTATTCCTTCTTAATTACACTCATTTTTCAAATCCAAAATAATTGTCCATTCTGACCCATTTCATATAATATCACTTAGCAATGCAATCTGTATGTTGTATGAAGACTGATAACTTAAAAAACAATTAACTCACTGGCTTTCATTTCTTATATTCCCTTACGAAAAAAGCTCAATTCCCTCAACATAACAAAGTGAAGTCAATGGTATTCTAAAGTGCGATTAAAGAAGCAAGAGTCATCACACTTATAAAGGTCATCACACTAATAAAGGTCATCACACTTATAAAGGTCATCACACTTATAAAGGTTATCACACTTATAAAGGTCATGACACTTATAAAGGTCATTACACTTATAAAGGTCATCACACTTATAAAGGTCATCACACTAATAAAGGTCATCACACTTATAAAGGTCATCACACTTATAAAGGTGTCCTAATACTGGTGGTAACCTATTTCAATCACACATAATAGGTACATGTATAAGAGGAATCATGTCAAAAGAAGGTCCTCTTTTCACTATGCAGGTCAAAGCAAGAGTTTTTTCCTAAGGGATTTTCTGTGCCAGCAATAATTGACTTGTATGGCAATTATAAAAGACCTTTAATGGAAATGCAGACATAATGTAGATTGTCAATCAAATTATCACAATTATTGTAACATAATAACTATTGAAATGCCACTTTCATTAAGATAATGACATGGAATATGTGTGTTATCTCACACAAAGTGCCCTTTAAAACGTATAAATGTTATTTTTTACAATTTCACCCACTTAAAGGAAATAGGTTAATCATTGAATGATAATTAATTAATGAAAATGAGGATTAGTTTAGATTTGTCAGAAAATTGATGAATGGATGAATGGACGGACGGACGGGCGGGTGGATGGATGGATGAATGGATGGATGGATGGATGTGCAGACAGACAGATCAACGGATGGATGGACAAATTAACCAACAGAAAGACAGAGGCTCAACTTTTCGGTTGAAGATTTGTGAAATCATGAAAATTCTCATACATACAATCAAGGGTAAATTTCCAGATCTAGTAAATAACAATTATACCCCCAGTTATGAAAAATTTAAAACTGAACACTATTTCAGAGAGAAATCCGATTGGTAGAATGTACTCAATTGTACAAGAATAATACATAATTAAAAAAAGCGCTGTAAAATAATGGCGCCGTGTCTGGAGGCTTGGACGTATCACTACACAAGCACAGACAACTTGTGTAATGCCTCACATTTTCCTTCTTATATCTTATTTCAATGTTTAAAGTAGTGACAGTAGACATTAGCCCCATAGATAAAAATCCAAAGTGTTTTATGTCCAGTGAGTGTGGCCTGTTTCGCATTTGGAGCATGTTTTGTAAATGCCAACAAAATCATATGGGAGAGACCAATTAAACTTAATAGGATGAGAGACAAGTGAATAAGTTTAAATTGTGCCAAATAAAATTGTAACCCCATGCTAAATGACTGAGTTATTAAAATCTTTGTTACCTTCTTTTTGGCTCACCCTGTATAAGATATTAGACCATATTTAACATCCTTTTATTCTAGTGTCAGTTTACAGACTATTTTTTTCATAATTACTATTCAATGGTGTTTTTTATTAGAATTCTATTATACTTGGTAATGTAATTTCATAGGAATCCAATATGATGCAAATGTGATGTTTACCCAAACTAGATATCAAGGGCAAATAACTATTCACATAGACTGCATATATAATTTTTATTATAAAGGGATGATTAAGGTCTTTGAAACTGGATTAAAATATAGGTAATTGTAAAAAATTGATGAATCAAAGCACTTTTATTTTGGAAGGGGTAATAGAGGATTTGTTATATACAAGAAAAAATAGATGGCACTAGTAGTGGTTGGGCTAGTATATTATTTCTTATATTGAGAATCTGATAAAATTACTTTATTTTTAACTTATCAAATATTTCCAATTGGATTTCTGAACAAGGCAGGCCAGGGTGAACAATATCGTACCTAAAACATAGCAGTGTTGGCTTGTTGACCCAGAAAGCAAGATGGCCACTGAAAAGTTAATCAGCGCTAGAACTTCATACCATGTAACATGTGTAAAAATTTGAACTTAATCCTTTAATTGGTTTCCACGGAATGGTGATGACAAGATTTATCTAAAAACTTCAAAAATGGCCGCCAGAATGCAAGATGGCCATCAAAAAGTTAATCAGTTCTAGAACTTCTTACCATGTAACATGTGTGAAAATTTGAAGTAAATCCATGAAGTGGTTTTCCTGGAATCGCAATGACAAAAAAAGTGAGACGACAGCCGCCTGTCGCCCGCCTGCCACCCGCCAAGCTGACAACAATATCTTACCTTTTTTAGGTACAATAAAACTCATATGGCATACAACTAGATGAGCTTGTTAACTCGCAGATTGTGATATATGGTCATAAAAAGTAGGATTTCAATGAGATTACAATGAGAAAAAAATACTGTTTCTATCAGTGGGGAAGATCCAGGTGTACTTTCAAAACGGAATTGCCTACTTCACAAAGTTACCAATAATTTCCATTAACCATTTTTGTGTCACCTCATTTGGCTTGGGGTTGAGTTGGACTGGGTTGAGATGAAGAACGTCGGTCAAATTTGGCCGACGAACACTGATTGGCGCGGTGAGTTCACAGGTTTATTTTAGTTTGAAAGAGTGAAGACGAAGCTCTCTTTTAAGAAATGAAGTCAAACGAATGCAAAGGGTAGGGTTGAGATGACCTGTCACCTTTTTTTGATATTATGAAATGTATCGTCTATACTCACACATTATTCTTCCCGGAAAGTGCCACGATTGCTCCTACATTTCCAGGCCTTTGTTTTATTGTGGAAAGCACTGTGAAGTCTGAGTACTTTTTTAAATTAACTAGAACTTTTCGTCTTGTTTGTTTGTTTACTTTCAGTTCTCTTTTCATTTCTAAAAAACAAGAATGTTAGAACATTTTAAAATCAAAAGGCTATACTGGAATTCAAATTCATTTATCAAACTTTTGCCTATTGGTTGCACAGTAAAACCTCTAAAGTGGAACACCTCTGAAAGTGGTACACCTCTAAAGTGGAACACCTCTGAAAGTAGAGCACCTCTAAAGGGGAACACCTCTATAAGTGGAACACCTCTGAAAGTGGTACACCTCTAAAGTGGAACACCTCTATAATATAACACCTCTGAAAGTGGTACACCTCTAAAGTGGAACACCTCTGAAAGTGGTACACCTCTATAATATAACACCTCTGAAAGTGGTACACCTCTAAAGTGGAACAGCTCTGAAAGTGGTACACCTCTAAAGTAGAACACCTCTGAAAGTAGAGCACCTCTAAAGGGGAACACCTCTATAAGTGGAACACCTCTGAAAGTGGTACACCTCTAAAGTGGAACACCTCTGAAAGTGGTACACCTCTGAAAGTGGTACACCTCTAAAGTGGAACACCTCTAAAGTGGAACACCTCTGAAAGTGGTACACCTCTATAAGTAGAACACCTCTGAAAGTGGTACACCTCTAAAGTGGAACACCTCTGAAAGTGGTATACCTCTAAAGTGGAACACCTCTGAAAGTGGTACACCTCTAAAGTGGAACACCTCTGAAAGTGGTACACCTCTAAAGTGGAACATCTCTGAAAGTGATACACCTCTAAAGTGATATGACCTCATTGAAGGCATTGGACTCTATGATAATTCTGCTCCATTTTATTAAAAAATTACACATTGAAAGAAACTCAGTTGGTGAGTTGTACATACTGGCTAAACCACTGGTCATATATACTATATAGTAAACAGTTGACCCAGACAGATAACATCAAAACAAAATATAGATAATATGCAGACCCGTAGCAAGGGAGGGGTTGTTGGAGGACGGGGTCAAAGTGAATCACCATTGCCACAAATTCTTTCAAAGTCATGCAGTTTTCACCATTTTGAGCACTTTTCAAGTGATTTTGGGTCAAAGTTGTCATATTTGAACATCCCTGGAATTCTTTAAAAACAGAACACCCCTTGGCAAAAGCTGGCTATAAGTCTGATATAAGGTCCCAATCAGAATTTGAGAGGTGTTTCCTTTACAAAAGTGTTCATTCTCAAGTGTTATACAGATATTCTTATATACAGGTCTTCATTTAGAACTAAGTTATTTTTAAACTACATAAGAAATTGTACAGCTGGCAAAACACCTTTAAAGGATATGTGTTGAAAGTAAAACAAAAAATATGAAAAAAGACAAAAAAAAAAGTCGAAAAAAGTATGAATGAGCCAATGATAAAAACACCTATCAATCTCCCTCACATGTTTAGTTATACCCGAGTAGGTAACATTTATGTTTAAGTGCCGCCTACCTACACTTTACGCTATCATATCGCTTTCTAAGTTGTTATTTAAAACTTAAAATGATACACCTTCCATGTTTATTATCTAACCTTTGCCTAAATGCCTGATTAAGTTCCCAGGAAGTTCTGCCAAATCCTCATGGGGGTAACGGCTCAGACATACTTAATGAAGTGTAATACATTGTCTATCAATTTAAAATGTCACAATAGTTTAAAATAATTGCTTATGGGAAAAAGTAAAATTGTGTAGATCTGCCAAATATCCCATGTGGAGGCTCGAACATACTTAACTAGAAAACAGCAACTCCACGGAGTAGCAAATCCCACCAAACAAAACATGTTTTGATAAATAGTGGCCACCTTGAAAACGTTTCAGCAAATAAAATTTGAACCTAATCTGTCAACTGGTATTTGAGTTATTGCACTCATAAAATGAACAAAAGGATGGTTGAACAAACGGATGGCTTCTCTATATCCCTACAAACTTTGTTCGATGGGATAATGAAGTATAATACATTGTCTGGCAATTTAAAATATCACAATAATTTAAAATAATTGCTTATGAGAAAAAGAAAAATTAAGAAGATCTGCCAAAAATCACATGTAGAGGCTCAGACAGTTAATGAATTAATCAAGTAACAAAAACAACAATCTAATTGAAAAACATATTTTTATGATAATTTCAATTATAAGCAATACAAAGATAAGGTTTAAGAAGGGTGAATCTATATTTGTTTTAACAGTAGGGGACAAAAGATATACAAAAGGTTCATGATCTAGGAGGAAAATGTTGCACAGTGCGCCGTGATCTTTTCCCACTCAACCAACCCATGTGAATGAACGGGGAAATTATGTTTTCTTTTGGGAGGGTTAACTTGCCTTGATATAACCAAGTTTATACATTAAAGTTATTATATTATAAAATGCTTATTAACTGCAAAAATATGAAATGGCACAAAAGTAATATGGATGCGAGACTTGAATTTCCATTTTTAAGTTGTCAAGTTTACATTTCAAGCAATTGTTCGAAATTGTAATATAAATTGTAAAATCTTAAATCATGGACATTATAATTATACACTCCTAAAAAAGTAAATCAAAAGTACAATGTCAGTTCCTGCATCTGAATTAAGTAAAATTTATTGTAACCGTTTCCCCATCACTTCTTTTTTTCAGAATGAAATATATGTTTCTCCTGTTTATAACACACACCTAGATTTACAGATAAATCTCAATTTTCAAAAGAATTTTAGTCAAATGTTCAAAGTTCAAATACGACAAATAATAAAGATATCAAGTTCATATGTTTGACCTAACTAACTTTCATCTTTAGACGGCATGCAAAATTGCAATTCAACGTTATTCAGACAATTCAAGCTTCTATGTTTGCTGAGATTAAAATCTTTGAAAAAACAGAAAAAACAGAAATGTCAACTGACTTTGTGTATTTATAGCCTTTGTTGAAAATTACAATGTTGTACAATTTTCCAATAAACAAAAATCAACAAATTTTCTCCATATTGTATTTATTTTGACCTCCATTCAAAAATGTCTTATCTTTAATAAAATAATCCATTTGGGAAAAATTTATATTAAATTTCCCTGTGTCTAGTATCATGGTAAAAAGACTTGTTTCTCATAGGCCACAATTAGTCTGATTTTCATATCCTGTTTATCTCAAGTGTCATATTTCAGGTACAAGGAATCCCAAATTAGTGTAACATTTATGTTTAAATTAAATTCATATCTTACCATTAAGTTTGTAGGTATTTGGGCTATACATTTTTGTAACGTTAGGCTGTTTCCAATCCACGGCAGACATTAAATCGATATGATGCTTCTCCATGGCAACAATATCCTCCCACGGTGGGGCTGAAAGAAAGAATATGAATATGTGAAGCAGAGGGGGATATCATAGATGTTCAGCGACCCTTTAGGGTTATGGTTAGGGTAAGGGGTTAGGGTTGAAGCATCGTCAGTCATCTTAAGTTGTGGACTAAAACACATTACCCATAAAGCAAGTTCTGTCAGAAAACCCAGGGAAAGATGATAGGAACTGTAAGAATAAATTTTACCTATAATTCAAATTCTACAGTCTCAAAAAAAATCATAATACATCATTGTCGCAATTCTAATCCATCTGTTTGAATGAATGCGCGTAAATGAACTTTGCTAAATGTAGAGTACATAAGAATTTTTATGAGACATCAGTTTTTTAATTAAAGTCAGTATGACTGCATGCCTTCAAAATCAAACTGTCCTGGTGTCAAACAAAAGTTTTTTTCCAAATCAGTTGACGTTATCCTTGCAGAAAACCTTAAAAATTGAATTTGTAAAAAATGCCGAGTTGGTGGGAAAATACCATTTTTACTTGATAGACAAATCCGACTGAACATGATGAAAAGTAAATATGGAAATGACATAAAGCTTTTACAAACTACAACCAATATCCAATTAGGTTTCGGTCATGCTAGATAAAGTACTTAAAATATGTTATGAAATAAATTTCATTCTAAATAGAAGATCACGAATATTTCCTGGTGTTATTCACCTTGAACTGTAAGTACAGTAATAGGATAAATTATGCAATAATATTCATTGTATGACCTGCCAGTGCCAATTCGGACATCCACAAATATTGTTTTCAGAATATGATTTTTAATTTTTTTAAATCACAGACAAATCAATCAGAATTAAAGTGGTGAAAAGTTGTTCATATATTACAATTCAAAGTTCTTGAGATTTGCAATTTTTCACCTGATGAGATGAAATCAAACACACCAACAGCATACAGTAGTATTTACAAAAGACTTGATGTCTATACCATCAAAAGCTGAAAACACTTTCATTCTTTGAAACTTCTGATCTTTTTCATTAAAGGTTAGAGTGTAAAATGACAGGATATGCTTTGTTTGAATGAATAATATCTTTTTGATAAAATATGACTAGAAACATACAGAATACTTGCTTGTCAATGCCCCTCAAATTACTTATTGAATTAAGTCTGTTTAACTTAAACCATTCTTGGTTTGGAGAATGAAGGTCATCAGTCTACTGCATGTTACGCCTGCTTTGGACAATATTGATATTCTTACATCTTGTAGATTTAAATGTCCTCTTTTGAATATCCATAATTTAATTTGGGTGATATTTTTATTTTATCATAAAAAAATTATTACCACAGACACTGGTGAACTTCTTTCTCTAAATCGAGACTTGTCTAAATTTATTGAATCGATTTACTGCACATTACGCCTGCTTCAGACAATTTTGATATTTTTACATATTGTAGATTTAAATGTCCTCTTTTGAATATTCATATTTTAATTTGGGTGATATTTCTATATTTTTCATAAAAAAATTATTAGTCCAAGAGACTGTTCTCCAAACCGAGACTTGTCCTCTCTATCTCTCTGACATTTCAATACTTATAAGAACCCATCTATTTTAAAATGAATGTCATCCAAGGAGGTTATCATAAAAGAAAAGAAGATGACATCATGACAATGCATATTGGAAAATCCCCTCCTCTGTTCAAACAAAAGCCACAGATTAATAGCAAGATAAGGATGACATTTCAAAAATGCATGACCCAAGAATGATTTTTCTGATAATTGGAAGGCATTTCAAGACTGGATGACACAAAAAGATTTTTTCACATCATCACAACCTACTAGGATTACAATTATGGACCATATTACATTTCTTTATGCTTTCACACTGGATCATGTTCTGCATCGCCCTTAAAATGTCCGTCTGCATAAACTATTTTACTTAATTTCTCTTCAAAATTTGAATAAAGTATTTCATTTTTTGCCATTTTTATACAACTTAGAGTGTTAACTAAATGTCTGTCCACTTTATTTCTTGCTAATTCCACTCTTTTTCACTTTATTTTACATTTCAAAACATGACCTTTATGGGATTAATATTCGTATGTGATAAAATAGAGAGAACTTACACAACTCTGTGTGAAACACTTCATTGTTTAAGCTGACATCACCCACGTAAATTTTTCCAAGTTCTTACTGCATCGAGAAGTCAGTATTGTACTCGAGGTACATCCCCCTCATGTACAATTTGTTTAAAATTCATAACACTGTAAAACCGGTCTAAGTGAACACCACTCTAGTGAACAACCTTCTTCCTCACATAGTACTCTACTGACTTCTGTATAACTTACCCTCTCTGTAGTGAACACCTACCAATAATAATAATTATTCTTGTCAAAAAATGTTCAGTATATATAGGTTTTACTGTAAATGAAAATTAATGAATTTGTTGAAATTGCTAAACATATGTCTGATCCAAACACAGTTTCCAAACTTTTGGTGGGAGTGTATCTCTTACTTTGAAATACAACACAACTTCAAACAGCTGATAATTTTTTCTTCTAATAACTACGAAAAGACACTAAGTGGCATTAGTGTGCTCATCTCGCACTTAGCTAATTATTTGGCGAAATGTTCTACCCACTTACGTGAAATGCTCCGAAGTGTTTGAATTCCATAAAGAACAAGAGGTCGTGCTTGCGGTTGTTTTTCGCTATTTTTGAAATTATTTTACATTATAAATGCCATCATGTTTGAGTATCAAAGTTTATGTCTCAACGAAAACATCAACACATTTTGTACAATGCATCTGCTTTTGTTTTGACACCTTTTTCGTGTAGTTAAAGGAAGTTCCACATTTAGCAAAACTTGGGAAAGTGTCATGGGAACATGACATTTTGATCCAGAATCTGTAATGTTTCTACCAATTTTCAAAGGCAAAATCAAAGGTAAAATCAGGCCGATAGGAGTGACAAAATTGCAAGCAATGTGTACAGTTGACTTACCAATTATATAATAATAATATCTCCCAAAAGATCTACTATATCTTATCAATTGGTGAAGTTATTAAAGAGAGAATCAGATATAGCAAGCAGGCTAAACAAAAAATTGTTTCAATTTTAGAATATTTTTGGCTCATGTCATTCCTTGTCATGTCTATTTTCTAAAAATCACAAAAGTGAGAAAAATGTGTAAATCCTCCCAAATAATCAACATGAAAATCATGTTTATAGAAAATGAATGCATTATGTAAAAATCATTAGTTTTCCTCAAAAAAGTATACACTTGGAAGATACTTAGAAAATAGATATGAAAAGGAGTAAAAGTCGGGACCTTTAGAATGCTTTTTGTAACAGAACTTCTGCATATTTCAAAGTCTGTAAAGGTTTTCAAATCAATTTGCAAATATGATTTCAGAACACAAAACAAGGTTGATATGAATAAATGATTTACTTATTAAATAAGCTTACTCATCACCTTTGAAGATCAATATAAAGCTGATAAGGTGATATATTTAATAAAAACCTTTGTTCCGCTTATCCAACAATTTTTTAGCAAATAACGTGAGATCATGTTATCATGTGAGATGAAAGGATAAAAATTATCCTTCCAAGGTCAAATGTCTTAAAAAAAGATTATTTCGTTTTGGTTGATAACCAATCACGCTCAGGTTCTTGGCTAGGATCTAAAAATAGGTGAGGCAAACATAAAAAAAGGTGAGTCAAATATAAATAGGTGAGGCAAATATAAATAAATAGGTGAGACAAATATAAATAGATAAGGCAAATATAAATAGAGGCAAATATAAATATATGAGGCAAATAGAAATAGGTGAGGCAAATATAAGTGGCAAATCTAAATAGGTGAGGCAAATATAAATAGGTGAGGTAAATATAAATATATGAGGCAAATATAAATAGGTGAGGTAAATATAAGAGGCAAATCTAAATAGGTGAGGCAAATATAAGTAGATGAGACAAATCTAAATAGGTGAGGCAAATATAAACAGAGGAGGCATATCACACCCAGCTTGCAATCTTAGATAAGAAAGTTTAACATTTTTTAAATACCTGAGGAGGAGCAGACAGTTATTTTAATAGAACATGTGCACATTTATGCTTAAACTTACAAGCTTCCCAAATAACTATATATCAAGTACTCTTATAATACGAAATATTAAATCATAGGCGCACCTGTAAAAACCTGGGCATCCCTCTTGGTAAACATTGGCTGAATGCCCCACAAAAATCATGGACACCTCCAAAAACTCTGGCACCCCTGAAAACCATGGCACCCCTGAAAACTCTGGCACCCCTGAAAACTCTGGCACCCCTGAAAACTATGGCATGCCTGAAAAACCCTGGAAAACCCTGGACATTCCTGAATTAGAAATTGTACAACAATTTGCATGTATTAATTAATATACTCCAAGGTTACACCAACCTGACCATTTCTACTTATAAAAATTAGTCAGTTCAATAAGATTTATAAACAGAAAATGATTCTTGTACTTCAGTTATCAGATAAAGTACTTTCCGAGAACATAGTTCTGCTATTGCTAAGTACCTGAATAATAAATTATTTCTGAGAATATTATTGTAGACCTATAAGACCTGCCTTTAGCCTGAGTTTGTATGTTTCAGCTCAAAGCAGAATAATAATTAAGCATCCAGGTTTTTGTTCATGAAAGCCCTTGCTAAGTCTGTGTTAGATTTTGCAGTTAGATCTTATGATGCTCCCACATCTTTATACTTGTATAGCACAGCCTGGAGAAATACATTAGACATTTGGGAGGGGTGGGGGAATAACTGGCTTACAAGCATGGTAATTGAGTCCAGAGTAGGTGCAGGGGAAAAATTGGATTGAATGACTCAAAATATGTTCGCTCTTTACCCCCCTATCACACCAAACTAGTTCTTACCCGTTCTTGCCAGTCCTACGAAAACGTTGTAAAACGGGCTCAATCTGGCTGTGGTCGGGAGATATGTCTGAAATAATTAGCTTCTTCATTCTTAAACAGTCTTCAATACATCCGTCTTG